TTTTATGTACATTTCTTTGCTGTTGCTTTGCACGACTATAACTAGAAACTTCCTAATTACAAGTTTTAAGGTGATGTTACACGGAACGATTCGCAACGACGATTTTTAGGGCAAAACAGCGTGGCAATGCTGGAACAATGTTATAACCATTCGAAACAATGTCGAACCAATGTTGCAATGCTGTGTTGCGATAAAAGTCGTCGTTGCGAATCGTGTCTTGTAACACCACTTTTATGAAGGGAATGTTGTACGTGTTCCTGTTCACTATTTTTTACGCTACGCCTCACTTTCACCTTGCTGGGCGCTAGCATTTCTCATTTTCTCACCATCCCTATAAAATGTTCAGGTTTTTCTTCTAACAAAATTGATCTCTTTTGTTTTTTCTCTCTCTCCGTTTTCCACGTCAATATAGACATTAAGTCGAAAAAAATAATCGGCTCTGTTGTTGTTGTTTATCTCTAAAAGTCCATGTGGCTGTGCAATTTACCGTACAAACGCACGGCCGCATGAAATGTAAAATTTTTATTCCGGCTTACATTAAGGGGGGACGTACGTACGGAAGTACGGACGATTTTCTCAGACCCCAAATTTCTTGGGTGCATAGGCAGGGTTGTCAAAATGCGCCGGCAAGCGGCGCTATCTCCGGCTACTTTAAGGGTTTTGCCCCCTGTAACCTGGGAAACATCCCTACTGATAAGCCTTCCCCTACCTGGAAACAAATATCCCTAGTGATATGTCTTCCCCCCACCTGGGTAACACATATCCCCAGTGATATGTGTTCCCCCACCTTGGAAACACGTATCCCTAGTGATCTGTGTTCCACGATCTGGAAAACCCATATCCCTTGTGATATGTTTTTTCCTAACCGGGGAAACACGTATCCCTGGTGATATCTGTTCCCCTACCTGGAAAACACATAGCCCTAGTGGTATGTGTTCCCCCACCTGGGTAAAACGTATCGATAGTGATTTATCTTCTCCTAACTGGAAAACACATATCCCTAGTGATATGTGTTCCCCCACCTGGGAAACACGTATCCCTTGTGATATGTGTTCCCCCACCTTGGAAACACGTATCCCTAGTGATCTGTGTTCCACGATCTGGAAAACCGATATCCCTTGTGATATGTTTTTTCCTAACCGGGGAAACACATATCCCTCGTGATATCTGTTCCCCTACCTGGAAAACACATATCCCTAGTGTTATGTGTTCCCCCACCTGGGAAACACGTATCCCTAGTGATTTATGTTCCCCTATCTGGGAAACACATATCCCTAGTGATATGTGTTCCCCCACCTGGGAAACACGTATCCCTAGTGATTTATGTTCCCCTATCTGGGAAACACGTATCCCTAGTCATATGTGTTCCCCTACCTGGGAAACACATATCCCTAGTGATATGTGTTCCCCTAACTGGGGAACACATATCCCTAGTGATATGTGTTCCCCTACTAATGAAACCCATATCATTAGTGATATGCGTTCCCCTACTCATGTAACCCATATCCCTAGTGATATCTTTCTCCTACCTGGGAAACACATATCCCTTTTGATACGTGTTTCCCAGGAGGGGTAGCACATATTCGTTGTGATATGTGTTCCCTTACTCCTGAAACCCATATTCCTAGTGATATGAGTTCCCCTAACTGGGAAACACATATCCCTGGTGATATGTGTTCCCCTACCTCGGAAACACATTCCTAGTGTTTTTTTGTTTCCCTGCCTGGGAAACACATAGCCCTAGTGATATTTGTTCCTCGACCTGATCGAATCATTTATTTTGCGGTTTGCAATAAATTTTGCTGCCTCTCGCTTTCCTTCCGCTTTCTTTGCATGCTTCCACCAAAGTTTCACTGAGTAATTCAGACGCAGTATCAATGCTATAATGTCTGACAGCTGCTACAAACCTGATATGTCTTCCACTACCGGCCCCGCCGGGAAACACATGCCGGCTACTTTCTCTTATTCTCCTGGCCCCGGTTGTTCAAAAGCTGGATAGCGCTATCCACCGGATAAATCGCTATCCAGTGGATAAGTACTTGGGAAAACAATTGCGTTATCCACTGGATAGAGATTTATCCGGTGGATAGCGTTATCCACCTTTTGAACAACTGGGGCCTGCTACTTAAAATCGTTTTGACAACCCTGATAGGTAACTAAATTTTCTTACCCATGGTGCTCCGCTGCCGGTGCCTCGCGCGCGCGAGGGCTCTGCTACAAATTTCCCGTCGCGTCTACACTGTGACAAGCCCGTAAAAGCAGATTGATTGAGTAAGTCCTATTTGAAGTTGCAAACGTGAACATTTTGCTTACAAAAATCAACATCTAAAATTCTTAAAAAAGAGGAATTATTAGTGAAGCATTCTCATCCGACAGAAGATATCATGAGACACCGGACGTCATTGTTCTGAAAACTTTCCGTTTCTTCTGACTACGGAAAATCACCTTTGGAGAGCAATGACTCTTTGAATGGGATATGTGTAAAAGGAAGGCCAATCCGCAAAATAAAACTGCGGATTCAAAATAAAAAGTACTGATAGACCTGATACGTGGGGACGGGAACTAGAGCTGAATTCAAAACTCTCCCCTTCTGATTTTTGTGTCTATCGTAGAGGGATAAAGAACAACCACTTTGCACCTCTGTTTTATTCATAAAATCGTATTCAATCTAATAGTTACTTACTTGTGTGTTTTGTTTTTAGTGACATCTATGTAGTTTCCGGTGAAAACGTGATTAACCGTTGCATTTTGCAAACCATGTATAAACTCTTCTCGTTCTTTTTCCCTGCTAAATCGTCTTATAATCTAGAAGTTAAAAAGCACCCGGGCCAAGCCCCCAACTTCCCAGAACACCGTCAATACAACCCCCAGAAGACCACCTAAAATCATGGCCAATTTTTTACTAGAGACTTATCTTATTTCGTGCTTCTGCCGTGCCGAACATAGATGGCATTGGGTTTAATTCAGACGTCGTGCCAGAGTAGAACTTTGTGAACATACTATAATAACTGTAAATGAAAAAAAAATAATGATAATAAACATTTCCTAACGTTTGAGTCACTACCTTTGCTGAGAGGTTGAGTGGTATAGCACGGAAGACCTTGTCGAACTTAACCGACAGACGCGATATCCCTCACAGCCAACATGCATAAAAGAAAGGTTTATCAAAGACTACCCGATGAATCAGTTTCAACAAACATAGGATTTACGATCACACATTAAGCCAACCACTAATATCTGATGTGAATAGTATAGTGTGGCAGGTTTTGTTTCCTTTTTTTTTTAGGTGAAATCTTATAGATTTGAGATTTCGATGACTTCGACAACAGAGACCCAAGGGCGATACAAATAAGGGCTTTTACATTTCAGCAGATATATTATGTCGAAGGCCTTCAAACTTCGCATTGACCGAACCTGTGGGAATGAGAGAGAACTATACTAGATTTTTCCCATTAGCTTAGATTCAGTACATGTGTAGTTTGAAGTTTAGACGGGCCTAAACATGCTGTCGCCCTGATGGAGCCATGATTGTTAACACGTTTGATTTATATTCATTGATCTGTCGTAATTTGTAATTTCTGTCGCAATTTGTAAGAAATTTGTCGTAATTTGGGAGAAAAAAGCTGTCGTAATTTGTAACAACACTTTGTCGTAATTTTTAACAAGCAAAGCTGACGTTATTTGTGAAAACTTTGTCGTGATTTGTAACAATAAAGATTGTTCTTACTTTTTAAACGAAAGGCTTCCCCTTCGGTTGTTTTTTGATAGTCAAGGGGACAAGACTGATCTGAAAGGACAAAATGATTTCATCTCTTCTTTTAGGAACAACCTATTAACTTTTTGAAATAAGATTTTCACGTGGAAAACGAGTAAGGGTAATCTGAGCGATAGATCTCGGTCTCCTGTAAAGAGTTTCAAATTTTAATGAAAGTTTACAAAAATGATCAGTGATAAGGAAAAATCCCATTTCAATCGTTTCTTTTCTTTTGGACCACCTTTCAAGTTCTCGCATGCCCAATGAATCCCAGTCAATTACCTTCAATAGGACGACATGACAGGTCTTTTAAAAATCACGACAAAGTTTTTACAAATTACGACAAATTTCTTACCAATTGCGACAGGTATTACAAAATTTCCACACCTATTACAAATTGATTATAATGGGCAGATAGGCGTGACGAGGCGTGTATGTCAGCTAAAATTTTCAATTTCGTTGATACTGTCTGGTTTGTTCGCTTCAGACTGCAAGGGCATGGCGTAAAACCTAGGATGACGAATAACCTCTAAACCCCAGGTATAATGATAGACTTGAGAGCCCGACAAATTGAAGCGTTAAGAAATGGCAATTTTAATTTATTTTCAGTTTAGGGTGTAAATTGTTAAGTTTCGGTCATAAATAAAAACAGTTCATTAATTGTTTGAAATGATTTAGTTTCTTGTCTTCTTGATCTTATTTCATTTCAACAGAAAATATTTTAGTGACCCTTGACAATTTCACTGTTATGTACCATTAAAAGTAGTCATGTGGGAAATTATGGGTAATATTTTCCAAAATAAAATTTCTTCGTTTTTTTTCGATGATTTGTTCACCCGTTTTTTTTCGCCACCGAAATTTTTTGAATATCCGACCTTAATTGAGCTTCTTCGGCACTATTTCGGGAATGAGTGCCTGCACCAGATCCTTGTGACCAGTGGATTGTGAAAAAACAAATTCTTTTTTGCCATTTTGCGAGTACGCTAAAGGACTTTATTGTACCTTGTATTTTGGTGGAAAGGAAAAAGTAATAAAAACCCCTTGTTTTGAAATATTCATTTCAGGCTCGTAACAATACCCATTCATGCGTCAAATAAAATACTGTAATGCTTTGTATTTAGCAATAAACGTTTTACTTTTGAATTAAACAATGAATAACGACGCTAATTATTTTGTAAATAATCAGCTGAACAGTCAGTCAGACAATCGTGACCACCAAGACCCTTCCATTAAGGCAACGAGTCGGTCAGGTGCTTCCAAGACTTATAAAGTGACTGAACCAATCATCTGGTTGGTCCACGTCCTCCTCGTCTTCACTTTCCAGTTGGCTCAAGTCATCCACATCAGAGTCCATTCCCTCATCCTCGAACCAGTGCACCTCGTCATGTGACAGAGACGGGTTACTATCTGCATGTGTTATGCGATGCACTATTACACTGTGAAGGCTACTTGTCACTGCCGGAGTTGAACCGTGGAAGCCTGGATTGCCAGTTCCTAAAGGTTTCTCTTCCATCGTGTGTGTTATCACGTGATGCCTAAGAGAAAGATGTCCAAAAAATAAGGAGACAAAATTCTTTCTGTGGTGAGAAATAGGTAACTGAATATAACCCTCATTAGTTCAGTCCAATGTCGTTTCACACAATAATCATTAATTTGCTTACTGAATCACAATAGCGAATCTCTGGAAACTGTATCCAGCAATTAAGACTGAGATTCATAAAACTAAACTACCATGTTCTATCTTTCCTACTCTTTTTCTAAAAACCTTATATTAACAGACAACAAACTGTTTTTGAAATTTGGTCTAATACACTAACATACAATTTCTTGAAGCCTCTTTTATTTGTAGAATTCAGGGACAAAAACAATCAGTCAAAGTAAAAATAAAAACATGTCCATGGCTTCTTTAAAATGCCACCTACGTACGTTTTGTACGACATCAGTTCCCGAAGGTCAAACTGGTGATTGTCTGTTCCTCGCACCCCATGGTCTTTGTAAACTCTGATACTCGCGTGTTCATGCTCGTGTGCTAGATCGATCCCTCCGTGTATTCGTTCAGTATACATGTATTTCATCAGATGACGTAAATCATAGTCAGTGCTATCCTCTTCTCCAGGCCCAACGTCCGAGTAAGACCTGACTGTCCCGTGTCCCCCTGGTAATATGGCCTCAGCAGGTTTCACTGGTGACGTGCCGTCCACGGCATCGCTTCTGCATTTCTTACAGAGCAGATATAGACCCAGTAGGAGCAGAAGTATAAGAAGAAGAAGAAGAAAAGCCAGCACGGCGTTCCACATCCATGACGGACCGTCCGGGGCTTGTGCAGCTGTTGAAGAAAAATTCATGTAATCATCCTGAAGAGGTGCATCAATGGTTTTTAATTCTTAGCAGAACGATTAAAATAGTGGGGACATACTTAGGGCTCCTCTCAAGTTCCTTAGTACCTCTTAATTATGAATTCTTGGTTCTGCATGTTGATGCGTTTACAATGAATTCTCCCTAAACGGACACCTCTCTAAGATGGACACCTGGTGTTGATCCCTACCGTTTTTCAGTCATTTTACTGTGACTATACTCTCTATAAGACGGACACCTCTCTAAGACGGACAACGGACATGAGTAGTGCTTTATGAAGTTAAAAATATTTCAAAACGGAAACGTTGGTGCGGTACTTGTAGTGTTTGTACTATAACAATTTTAGAACATGAAGCCCTGAACGTTGCTTGTAATGATTGCATGGTAAGAGAATAATTCCACTTTTCTGTTTCAATTCAATTTACAATGTTTCAGTTTAAGCTGTTTTGTACAAGTTAAACAGGCGTACATTCATTGCCAAAGCTCAACTTAAAAATCACTGGTTTCACGTTAGCTTGACTGTCTATAAGCCGGACATTTCCATAAGACGAACAGTCAGGGCCGGTCCCGAAGGTGTCTGTCTCAGAGAGAGTTGACTATATATATACTATTTGATATCGCATTGTTGACACGGATGCGAATTAAATCATGATGTGGAAATTTGCTTTGGTATACATGTATGTCTAGCCAGATTTTTGATAACGTTATCGCCAAATGGACCATTTCCGTCGAACAGTTTTTCCAAAGTAGCTATTATAAAAACTAAGAATGCAACTTTTGCTTTTTTCTTGTCCTCCTTTCGCTCTCCTCGCTCTTCCCTTTTCTCCTTTACTTTTCCTTCGTTACTAGGATTTTGGAGCTTCTCGGCCGCTTCCTGAAGTCACAGGAAACCTGCCTTTTGACACCTTTTCACTCAAATGACTGCAAATTTCGTTAGGTTGATTTTCACAAAATCGGCAAGATGTGCTATCTAAGAATTGACCAGTAGAACGTGTAAGGGTTGTTTTCTTTTCTCAAAGTGGCTACTATACATCGCTGTTTTATAAAAATTTTATTTCCTTAAAAAAGGTAGCGACAAATGACCTAATACAATACACTATATAGCGCTTAATAGAAAATGACATCAGGTTCAAAGAGAGTGACAGGAAAAACAGTACTTATGCAAAACAAAACACGCTTACAAGAGGTATCAGTGAGAGACGAGACAGGTGTGACTTCAGGAAGTTAAAAAAGGAGGGGCGGTCTCATAAGCACGGTTTTGGTACCTGAATTTGTGACACCAGAACTGAAAAAATATAATTACATAGCCTTAGTTGTTACAAAATACTCACGTGGAGCAAGACCCAATACAAGGTCGTCTTTTTTCTGGCACCGAGGACCAGTCCAACTTCCAACGCATTTACACATTTTCCAGGACGTTGTAGAATTTTCCACCAGCGTCGTGCTGTTCTTAAGAATGCAGGTGCCATTATTCGCGCATTCTCCGGTTTCACATGGGCAACCAAATACGACGTTTTGGCGCTCAGCTCTCACATCATTACTGTTTTTGTCATCCAGGTCAAAGTAGTTAAGTCGATTCTGTGGAATGCACCCTGTGAATGAAATATTATGTGATTTGGCGCTATATTCACCAAAAGCTTTATGTTTCTTATTTTCCATGGTCACTGAATGCTTCATTTTGTTACAAGACAACATTTTATGGGTCTGTATCTAATCTCGTGTGCACACAACATAAACAAAACCTTAATAATTTTAAGTATTTGTTTTCTTTCGTGGAATGGCAAGACAGAAAACCATTTGAGATTCCTTATGCTGTCCACAGATAATATTCTGTAATCGCATGATATTTTGTCCTTGATTTACTCTTAGACTGATCAATTCTGTAGTAAGTTGCTAACCTTTATCACTGTGTAACATGTTGGCTATTTTCTTAGAATGATCACTTGATAAGGAATTGTATGAGGTTTTTCCTAGAACGTAAACCACCTGACCTACCTCCATATGATTCATCGATGCCTTCTTTGTTTGCAAAATTTCCTCCACCAGATTTCCTTAATTGAAGGCTTGAGCCATAGCCACCCACCAGTCTCCCTCCAACTAAGGCAGCGTTTCCACCATTGACAGACGCACCTGCGTTTTGCTGGTGTCTTCTCTGTATTATTTGCTGTACACTTTGAAGACTATTGTTGCTAAGTTGCACTTGTGTAATACTAACTCCCGCGCTTCCAATGACAATTTTATGGGAACTTTCATTAAAGATGGATCGAATAGTGTGTTTTTGGTACATCCTGATCAGAGTAGCGTTTTTGATCTTTTTAACGTGAACGTTCCCTTGCTTGTCAATTGTTATCAAGTTCACTCCAGTTAAGGAAGAACCAGAAAATGCTGAATACGTTGATATAAGGCTTCCACTGGCCGTCTGCACGATGGCTTTTCCGTGGCTTTGCACAATAGCTCGCATCACCTTCAGGGCTGTTAGTCTTCTCAGTCCACCTACAAAAGATTTGCTACACTCAGTGTTGTATTTTCATTAAAGCTTCCTTTTTCACCGTGGTGTTTTCATGTAGGATACTGGGGCAAATGAACAGATTCACGAGGGCCGCTGATTACTCAATATATGTCCAGTTTTGTTTCTTAACAATGGCCAATGGTAAAGATAAAACAGAACGTATGTCGTGACTATATGCCCATAAAACCTGTCGATTATTCCTTATCATAGCGTTAACCAAGCATCACACGTCCTTGTGAGCTATTGCCAAACGTTTTCTGTGTACACTGCTACGAAATTATGCAAACCAATCAAATACTAACGTATAGTAATACCTGCAAAAAGAGCTCCTCCACCGTGATTCATGAGGTGACTTGATCCTCCTGTACTTCCCTCTACCTTTCCTGCATAGTCAACTTGTAGTGTGGCATAATTACCCAGCCTTTTCACAATGATCGTGTGGTATTTGTTATCAGTGACGTTTACTCCTTTGAGGTGGAGAATTTTTGTTCTTCCTGCCAGTCGTAAAATGCAGCGAATTTTTTCGTCATGCAGCTGCAAAAATTATCAAAAAAAAATGTCCGAAGATGTTGCGATTTTACGTTAATTAATTGCTTGCATTACATAATATTAGGAGTAGAAATGGTTCGGCTAATTCAAAACCCAGTGATTAGGAAAAAGATGAAACTGGGAAAAGAAGAAGTTGCACTGGAAACGGTTTTCCACGGATATCATGTTGTAATGTTTCAGTCCAGACAGTTTACCACACACCTTGAAATGCACAGTAAAACGATTAATCATGAGAGCGCGTTGCCTATCTTTACCGGCGCTTTAGATGGTGTTAATCAGCTTGGGAAACTTCGTACAAGCAAAGCATGATAATGAAGAAGGCATGGAATATCTGCATTCAACTTACGTCAACCCTGACAAACTCTGTTCCAAGGCTGTTAGTTGACAGAAATATCAGGCTGTTATTCGTTCCTGGTTTGGCCTTCATCTTGAGACCAATGTCAGTGAAATATTCACTTGTTATAGGTTGGGGAGCTGGAAGAGTGTCACGTCGCCGCCTTGATAACGTTGAGGATGATGAGGACGACGATGATGACGACCATGACGAAGACGAAGACGACGACGACGACGTAGATGAAGATGATGATGAGGAGGAAGAGGAGGACGTTCCCCACGATGTTACAGAGTACTGGGAGTAACTGTTTTCCAAATAGTAATTACCAACTGCAGCTATTCAGTGAAAATGCAAAATATGAGTAAAGATTATGTTGATTGGTTTAGAATGGCCTTGCCGAGTTGACTATCTTTTGATCCTCAGTATTCAGTAGCTGCAACATGGTCTACAAAGTATCTCGAAACCAATTGATAACAATTTCAATGGGCTGAAAGTTTGACGATTAGATACGTTAATAATTTCCAACTGCCAAGAAAAAACTAAAGAGCCGATAATAAAAATGTCGATGAGTAACATATTCCTAGAAAAGGTATAATGAAGAGTTTTTACTCAGATGGCCAGCATCTATGTAAATATATTGGAACAAAGGAAAGCGTTTACTTAAAAAAAAGTTCAGCTCTCACAGGACTGGTATGGTACCGCCATGGCCGCCGTTTCATTGTTTTGGAACACCAATATGGCCGCCGTAACGTCATGTGAACGTTTTACATACACTTTCTTTACACAGGCACATCTTTGTTGCTGATTACAGCTGACAACGTTTCCGTAAGGGGGATTCCCTGTCTTAGCTTATTCTCATAAATACTTTATTTTTAACCGTAAATTTATAGTATTTTTATTAATAATATTTTTAAAAAGCAAAAAATGTATGCAAAAAAAAAGTAATGCCTCATTTGTATAAAGGAATAAGTTAAATGGGACGTTAGATTAATCGAAACAGGTAAAATCATTTTAGGGCGCTTTCCATTTGTCAAAAATTGCCCGGTGAGTTGTCAAATACGCAATAAAAACAAAACCATTTCTTAAGGTTTTGTTTCTGGCTTGGAACGTTAGATTGTAACGTCTTAAGAAACAGGTAAAATTCATCAATTCTTAGACTCAGTGGTTAATCACATAACAGGGGCACACAAACTGCAGGTGAAGACTAACCTGTTAAGCAGTTTCGTCCAGAGTATCCAACATCACAGACACACACCCCTGACTTTGTCAGGTAGGGTTCACAGTACCCTTGATTGTTACAGTACGGACATCCGGTAGACTTCTGGCACCCTTCAGGTGCATTTACTACTTTCAGTGGGGTCCTCAGATCGTACATGTGATTGTTATTGGTTATTTTTCGTATACAGCCATTGAAACCAGTATAATTGAGATTAGGATAGGCAATGCCAGAATTTTCTACGCCTCCGATCTGAAGTGGCCAAAGACTGTTGAGATAGCTGAAAAAAAATATAGATATAAACTAGGGGTTTAAAACACAGATCGTTCCACCGCTTTTTTCATTGTTTTTTCTACACAAGCCAACTGTGGTCACACAGTCATGAGGCTAGTTTGTTTCATCTGCAAGATTTCACTTGTCTCCTAAGGGTCAGTAGTATCGTAGTTCCTGGCCTATGGGTTGTGAGAGAATTCTAAATTTCTTTTATACGAGAAAACATTTTCGCTCAGTATTATTATCTCATTTTTACATAAATTTAACGCCCTTACGATCACCATCTCCGATCCCCTCACATTAACTCAAGCACATACGTATGTAATTATCTGAGATTGATTGTATACTTACTAGTTTGTTCCTCTAATTTTGCCTGTTATTTTGCAATTACTTTCATCTTCCACCAACTCTTCTCCTAACTGAACCAAACGCGCGTTCTCGCAGCGATCAACAATAACTGTAATAATCTGTAAAAAAAGTTGAGAGCGAAAATTTTCCTGATGCTCCATCTAATTAGGAGTAAAGACTCTGTATAAGGCGCACCGGTTACTCCTTTTTGAGGGAGAAACTCAAAAATTTGAGGGGTATACATAAGCGGCGATGACGTCTAGCTCATGAATAACATGCTGTAGGATATCATTAAAGTAAGGTTACGTGCTGTTTTTTGGTTGCTTAACCAGTTTGAAAGATGTTCTGGTAATTTCAGATCGACAAATGTCTTGGGTTTGATTGGTTCACTAGAAAACTAAAAGAAACCGATTTGGAACAATTGTTTTCTGTAATGGACAAAAAAAAGGCAGGAATTGTAATTTGCATAATTGCGTTACATGATCTTAAGCAGTTTAGAGCTTATTCATTATTAATCATAAGAAAAAGGTAAAAGGCTATAACCTGAGCTGTTTAATCCACCTCAACGAAGTTAGGTTCCCTCCAGAAAAAGGAACCCGATACACCTTAGAGCACCATGGTTGCATCCAATTTAATACGTGTAATTTTGAGCAAATTTCAAAAGTTTAGTTACGCCATCTAAATGAGTGAGACAATGCACTGCAATTTTTGATAAACAGAAAAGGAACAACGTCATGGCTTTTTGTGTACCAACAATGAACTTTGGCTCCTTCATATTTATAATACTGCTTTGTCGACAATACTTTTCCAGCTGTTATTAACTTGTACCTTTAATTCCTGATGCACTTCAATAAAATGCCAATCTCCGTCATCAAGCCGATTACCACGTGACAAAGTCAGCACCAAAGGCTCGGCACCTAATGATATGACGACACGGATGAACCCATCGCACAGAATAATGGCCATGAAATCACGTGACTCACTAGCGCTGACTGTGGAAGGAGAAAAGTGCATAACCATTTCGTAAATATTAGAGCCTCTTCATACAGCTTTCTTTGGTATTTTACTATAACGGATGAATTTCTACTGTGTATAAGTAATTATATCAAATGAAATCGAAACACTACACGAATGATGGCAAATGGTTAGTCAGTCAAAACTGGAATGCTAATTCATAAAGTACTCCACTACCTTCGTCGCCAAACGGAGAGGCCAAGGATACACTTACCTTTTCCTATGTATAGTGGTTAACACGGTTGATAGCGCGACACTTTCAATAGAAAGATTTCAAAAACATTCTCAGCCCCACCTCCTGCTATCCTTGCCAAGCTTAGAGGCAAAGACGAACAATAATGCTATACAGTAAATAAACAACGTTCCAGTGGATACACTTGTGGTTTCCCTTTGTCCATAAATAAATACAATGGGTAGAGCTATCCTATATTTATGCGACTAAACCCAAACTACCTTTCATAAACAAAAAGGCACACCTTCAGTGAGAGGGCCTTGATAAAGTAAAAGCCCGTTTGCAGTAGTTGTGATAAACTCCAGTTGTACAACGCTCCTTTCGTACACAACCAACGTTTTAAGCCAGATGTAAGAGGTCCCCAAACCGCCCTCGAACGTGCGAGTCGTTTCCTGACATTGAGGTCCAGTGGCAAGACCGCGGAAGGTATGTTTACATTGGCAGAGGAATCCTGAGAAGATAAAGTAGTGAATTATTTATTGTAATGAGAGGGACCTAATTTTTTTTTATAGTAAATAAATCAGTCACTATTAACTTTCTGATATATACATCATATTGCTGCTTCTTCTTTAAGAGTAGGTTTAGCTCTGGCTTCGTGTTAGTTTCTGCTGCACTGAATTGTGGTCATTAAAAAATTATAGAAGCAAAAATTCGTTAACATTGCTTAAAGTACAGTCTGCAGAAATTTGAAAAAAGCAGGCGACTCATGCCGACATTTCTTTTCGTATTTATATCGCACCACAATGTTTTCCCTTTTTACACAATAAACCTTGCTAAAATGAATTGCATACATAAGCAGTAAAGATCTATGAAAGTCAATAATATTGAAAGTAAGTTTGAACACGAAGCCGCAGGGTTTTCAGCTCAGGCGGTGGGTAGTTTGTTTATTTGTTTGTTTTTTTACAACCATGGTCAGTTATTGTTTTATGATCAAAATGGTTTCGGCTGAGGTGTTCTCTTTAACGTACCGCACAACGAAACACTAGGGGAATAACAGCACTGACAATACAAACCTTCTGGTTCCACATCATGGCATATTCCCCCATTTAAGCAAGGCTTGTCTGCGCATGTCTGAGGACGTGACTTTAGTATGGTCTCATAATCTGCCTGTAGTTGAAGATTGACTGATACAAACGTCAAAGACACTGGAGGAGCGGGAAACTGACCGTAGTCACCACTGATGACGGTGAACGTATTATAAGCTTTAACTATGTTCTGACAAACACCAGTTTTGTTAACCTCTTGTGCGCAGTTGTCAATTCCAAAAGCACCAATTGTTAAACCTGTAGTTTGTTATCATTAACATGTTAGGAATCTTCATATGTTGTAAAATACTGTAACACCGTTGACGGTGCACAAATACAATATTCTTAAAGACTATTTCAAATACATATGTCCCCAGTTGTTCAAAAGGTGGATAACGCTATCGACTGGATAAATCTCTATCCACTGGATAGCGCAATTTTTTCCCTAATATTTATCCGCTGGATAGTAATTTATCCGGTGGATAGCGCTGCCCTGATCTTTAAATACCTTTCATCAGCGTTTTGGTAAAACATTCTATGGTTACATGAAGGAATAGTTAAACAGTGCAGAGCTATCCTTGTATGGTTGGTTAATTCCCTGATGCGTGACTCAGTATTTTGCAAAGCCTTGCTCACAAGATAGATTTGTTCCGATTTCCGATATACTTATCCAGTTATTAAAGTGAAAGCGTAAGCTCACCTCCATTCGCCAATTACATATGGAAATAACCATTTCCTTGAACACAGCCTTTTTTGCATCAGGTCTGCTTAATCGTGAACCTTGAGAAGTAAATGGTTACACCCTATTTCTTTTGTAATTATCCATATAAGGATCAAAAGTAATTGTGCTCTGTTAGGGGGCACCATCGTTAATATTTTGGTCAGTTGCTTCTTTGAATTGTATAACTAATCTTACCTATATTCTGAAGCGATTCTCTGTTTTCCGCCAGCTTGATTATGACCTCTGTTGGGCTCATAAACCCAGAAGAATACAGAACATTCGTCACCACAAGCTGAACATTTATGGCTTGAGGGTTCCTTGAGTCCTTTTGAATGTTAAAAATATAAACAGCTGAGGGCCTAGAGACCCCGCCGAAGTTAACCGTGAAAAACCTGGGTAACATTGTTTCGAAGAGAGAATAATAGTCTCCAACAAACATGGCTGTTTTATGAATGTTCAGAAATTGAATTGTGTTGCTCATGCTCACAGCTGTCTGAGAAATATTTTGCACGATTACATAAACAGCACAAAAAGCGAGCTTAGGCTGTGCCACATTTCGATTTTTCTCTGTAATTTGCACAGATAGTTTATAGGAACCAATTGGAATGTCCTCGGGTGCAGATAAATTCCCATTGTTTGTGTCAATAGTGAAATAGGACCCTGGATTTTGGCTTAAAATTTTATAACCATTTACATCCACTTCAAAGTCGTCGTCTTGATAGTATACTTTACCGACGTTTCCACCGACAAACTGCCCCTGATACGAATTCAAGATTATAGTCATTGAAGCATTGAAAGGTTCGTTATTATTAATTGAATCCTTAATCCGAATGTAGACCACAGTCACATTAGTCATGGATGGGTTGCCACTGTCTGTCGCTTCTACCCAGATCTTCCATTCTTGTTTCTGTTCGTATTTGAATATGCCATTAGAAAATACATCTGCTGTGTTTGGTCGTATGACGAAATTATCATCGACCGTACCATCAAGGATCTTGTAATAAAACGGAGGACCATTAGAAGGTTCATCTGGGTCATAAGCTGTAAGAGTGACAACAAACTGGGGATCAGCAACATTTTCAAAAATGCTTCCAAAGTAAAATGGTGGAGCAAAATGCGGTCCATTGTCATTGACATCTAACACTGTGATTGTTACCGAGCAAATGGCAAAAAGCCCGTCCTCATCTTTGGCCATTATTTCTAAAGTAAAACTGCTCCGTGTCTCGCGGTCCATTGAAGCCGTTGTGTATAAGATACCAACATATCGGTTATCTGGATCCTGTTTGACATCAAAGATATCAGCGAGATCTCCAAATATTACTTCAAAAAACAACTCCGTCTCGATTGCTGTGTCACCATCAGTAGTTGTAAGGTCCAATAGTGAAGTACCAACGGCCGAATTTTCATACACAGATAACTGGTAAACATCTGGCTCAAAAACAGGTGGGTGGTCGTTGGCGTCTAGTATTGTGATAAACACTGTTGCAAGATCCAAGGTAGTCAGCTGAGGACGCCCTTGGTCTGATACGTTGATTTTTAGAGTATAACTCGTCTTTGATTCAAAGTCTAACTTGCCCGAGACCATTATTCTTCCCGTGTTGGGCTCAATGTAAAATACATAAGGATCATTACCAGACACGATAGTAAACTCTAATGCAGCATTGAAGCCGATATCACCATCTGTACCTTTGACAGTCGTGACATAATATCCTGGGTAAGCGTTCTCCGGTACAGACGCCGTATACTCATTAGGATTAAACTGGGGTCTATGATCGTTGGCGTCTCCAATTCTGACGGTGACGACTGTAGTTCCACTTAGTTGTGGTACACCTTGATCAGTGGCTCTGATGGTGATGTTATATTCACTGTTGTCCTTCTCCCTGTCAAAAGTTGTGGTAGTAAATATAACAGCCGTGTTTTCATCCACTACAAATTTCCCATTGCTGTCGTCATCTAAAGTGTACTTTATTTGTGTGTTAATGACCGTTGAAGGATCGTCTTCATCCACAGCTTGAACAACTATAACACTTGTCCCCGAAGGTGTGTTCTCTTCCACTTCACCGATGTATGGTGGATTCGGAAAATATGGCGCTTGGTCGTTGAAATCGTATACAGTAATCTTAAGAGAGAGGGACAAAAAAATGTTAGAATTCTATTCAAGTGCCAACCAACGTAATGTTGACCTGCCAAACAATGGTACAAAAATCACTCGGTTCAATTGAAAGATTTCACCAACAAATTAAAGCATTAAACGTTTCCAGAACATCTTATGTAATATAAGCTGCGAATGGTGACTAATCTTAATGCTCTGGTCACCTAACTCCTGAATAACTACCTTCTCCTGGTGAACCCGTTTAAAACAAAAGGTTACCTCAGGAACCGAGTAAGGGACGGTATATTCCCTTGGCTGCTTGTGCCGAAGACAATGGATTAGGGGTTCTGTTAGGGTGCTACCGGAAAGAAGGCAAACATCCGTGAGTAAGGATCTCAGTGAAAATCCCTCCAGGTGAAGTATGCGCCCCCCGTCGAGTATTAGGTATTGAAAAGCCTGAAAAAATATTATTGTTTTAGCCGACAATTATCTGGTTTTCCGTCTATTACGTAGGCGAGGTCATTTACCCGACTTCTCCTCCAAACGGGAATGCCACTGCGAGTTTATTTGGTGCAATGCTAATGCTTTTACTTTAGATCACTAGCTTCCTGATAGAGCAAGCCATTAACAATCTTTTATTACTGCGAAAATTGTTACTCAATTTGTGATCTAACTAAAGTGAATGAAGGTTACAGTTAAAAAGTGCGAATTACAATGAGTTGCATCTTCAAACTCTACAAGAGCTCCTTACAAATTGACAAATAGACTCATCAGAAACCATTTCTTTACTCAGGGTATGAATGTCCTCGTGATACTATAGGTTCTGTTGTGGGGTGGGTTACATGCGGCTTACGCTGTTACAGTACCATACTTCACCTTGATTCCAGCCATTCCAGTGTGTTTTCCATCTGAAGCCGAAACTGTGAAGTTCAGCACCGGAGTCTTTTCCCTGTCCAGTGGAGTTGTACTTGTGAGTATCTCCCCGGTTTTTCTTCCAATCGTAAAGTACCGCAAACCTGTTTGGTCCAAGGAATATACAATTTCTTCTTTCGTGGTGTCAATGTCCGTGGCAGATACAGTAAGCACCAGTTGCCGAGCTGGACTTCCTTCTAGAACTGTTGTCTGGTAACGAAGCTGGGTAAACACTGGTGCGTTGTCATTTACGTCAAGAACCTAGGCAAAAGGGAGAGTCATTGTTATCGCGAATTTTGCGGAAAATTTAGGGAAAGAAAGCGCAATTGTTTTTAAGCTATCATATACTTTACTCATGACTTTACTTATTGCTCCTCTTCATCCATAAGCTCAGTGGTTAGAGCGTCCACACTAGTTTTATTGGATGCGACAATTTGAACCTAGTTCTTTTTGTTTGCAGTTTTTTGTCCATATACAATCTCATAAAGTCGAAATTCTAGCCTTTGCAGTCACTTCCATACGTTAGGTGTTCCTCATTCAAATTAAGAGAACTTTAAAAAACCAAACCCTAACTAACCGAGCACGAAGGCTGCATTAGCATCTTTAGCTAAAAGGACGCAGCGTTAAATGCGAACGCGAAAACGCTGAGAAGTACTGAATGCGACCCTCTGGGGCTCAATTAAAGTTCTGGCTTTGGTTAAGCCGCTTTTTAGATCTGCGTGCATCGCACAGTCATCCCATTCGTCACATTTTCTTTGCAAAATCTTCCTGACACTGTCACAAGGTCGTGGCATTAAGGACCGAGCACAGCAATCCAGTGAGAGAACGACAAAGTCCCATGTTACTCTGTACGATTTCAAGCAAGTTAGATTTGTAAATAGCGGTTGGACTGAGGTTCAGTTGTTGGGGGAAAAATAAAGCTGTTTCCCAGGGTGTTTCACATTCATCCCTGTATTCTAAAGGGCTTAAAACAAGGGCCTCACCCTACAAAGGTCTGTTTTTTTTAAAATAATATTTCTAAGGAATCCTTTCCCATCAGAAACTTTATTTGTTTGCGAGTAGTAAGGTTTAAGAAATTCTTCATACTCATTATCTGTGATAACAGCCCGTAATAAAAAATCTTGCCTGTAAAACAGCCAATGAGAGTGCTACAACATATTGCTCACCCTTCCATTGTTTGAAAAGGAAGATATTTCTTACCTTGATGTTCACATTCGCCGTTTGACTGGCTGATCTGCCATCACTAGCAATTATTTTAAGCCTGTATGCTTTCGTAGCCTCGAAGTCCAGTTTATCTTCAACAATAAGCTCTCCTCCGTTAGGCTTAAACTTAGTTATCACGTCAAAAGCTTGATCTTGATTACCTTCAGATATAAAAAAATTCACTATGCTGTTCAGAGCAACGTCGTTGTCTTTGACTGTAAAGAAATATAGAACTTCTCCAAGAGGAACATCCTCATCAACTTCCAGAGAATAATCCGTGGTTTCAAACACAGGAGCCACGTCATTATCATCTATAACTTCGATGTCAACAAAAGTTGTATCACTCCTCTGGGGACTTCCTTTATCAGAGGCCTTTACGTCAATTAAAAGGTGGGCCAGCTCTGCGATTTCACGATCAAATATTTGTGTAGTTCTTATTACACCAGTAACGGAGTCGATGGTAAAATACTGGTAGTCATGGGTTGGCATTATTGCATAGGTGACCTAACAAATGACATTAACAAACCTGGTTAGTTTTCACTAACTTACAATTCCCTGGGAAGACTTAACGTTACCGTAGGAAAGAGCTGTATACAATTTTTTCCGAATGGTTGCAAATTTAGTTATTATTTTGTCTTTATGGTAATTGGCCCTCCAAGTCTCATTTCATGGATTCACGGAAAGAGATCTTTTGAATTCTCCAGATGCAATGGAGGAAAATAGGGCTGCTTTTCATAAATTGAAATGAAATATAGGTTACGAACGTGGCTAGGGATAACGTGTCCTCATCAACATACACGATTTTTGCGCCAAGGATAAGTGAACCGTCTGTAAAACAACAAGTTGTCTGTAAAAGGGCAATGACGCTGACACACACAAAAAAGCATATTTGGGCTTAGTGATTGTAAGTCACCTGAGAGTTAGCGCTTATTCCTTAGACAACATGTATTAACCAAAGAATACTTTTCTTAGTTTTTATTCAGGCAATAAAAAAGCAAGACCTTCATTGACTCCGATACAAATAGAAAATCTATTCAACCACCTAAAAGTAGCACATGACCTTATCTTGATTCATCTGCATCTAATTCAGGAGGTAAAGCCAAAAGGCAAAGTAATGAGATTCCTCCGCAAAAACGGAGTAACCAGTCCCTTCTAAACTACTTCTTACCTCTCCACCAGCACCCATGTCTGCATCATTTGCGTGAACGCGTATGACTGGAGTACCTTCAGGTGAATTCTCGAGAATTCTGCCGTCATACCTCTCCGTTGGGAACTTGGGTGAGTTGTCGTTTACATCTTTGACTTTGATCTCGACAAGACATGTGGAAAATAGCTGATCGCTTTCGCGTGCTCGGAACTGCATGCGATAAAGTGGTCTCGTTTCGTAGTCAAAGGAGTCTTCTCCTGACACAATAGTCCCGTCCCCCTTTATTTCGAAGTGATCGAAATCACCATGCTGCATTAACCGAGTGTAAGCTACTGGTTGACCATTCATTGATGTTGCTGTGATTTTTAAGATGGATGTACCTGCAAAAAAATAAAAATAACAATAGTGAATGAATTTGACCGAAATTTCCAGCGGTGCGCAGATACATTTTTGCCGATATCGAAGCCATGTCAAATGCTGGTCTGCAATACACTGACAGGTTGCGATGTTTTACGAAACCGCGTTCAATAGCGTTGCGCGCGAATGACGTCAAAGTGACTAATTTGCATTTTTGTCTGAGTGTTGTCATTTTCCCCTTTTTAATGACAAATGTCAGACAAAAATGAGGAATTCCCAAATGTTAATTTCAGTTTGTATAACTGAGTTTCGGGTCTGTAAATAATAACTGCACACAGCTCTATTGAACTCAAGGCTGTTACAAAATATATGCCACAGGAAGCCCAATAAACTTAGGCCTCATTATTTTCTTAGGCCTTCTGTTGATTGTTTCCTCCATTTTCTCCTTTGTTTTCGTTCTCATTGTAATGTTAACTTGTGTGGCAAAACAGAATAAGATAAACATTTTAAAAAATAATTATCATTTTGTTCTTGATCTAAGCCTGGCTATTCCCCAAAAAACCTTGAACGGTTTTTTCGGTCTCCATCCCCACGAGGCGACTTCAAAGCTTTCTGCATAAAGATTTTCTCTGGACTTATGAGAGTCACTGAAACAATAATTCAGTAATAATTGCTATTAACATTTTTAACACACCTGGCTCACTATTTTCATCAATGCTTCCAGTATAGACTGATTTGGTGAACTTAGGAGGTTGTAGCTCTGTAACATAGATAGAAATTGTCGCTGTTCGACTCTCAGAGTTCCCTGCGCCAACAGACATTGGTTCTGTGTTAGATGCTATGACTTCGTACGTCCATGTTCCAACGAAAAACGTTAATGATACTTTGGTAGATATTACTCCATTGTCAGAAATCTCAAACTTGTCGTTCGCCTCAACAAAGCTATATCTAACTTTGGAATTGCCCCCAGCGTCTTCATCGATGGCGTGAACAATCATGAAAGATGTACCAATAGGAGCATCTTTCCATACGCTTCCATCATGCGACGAAGCTGGGAAGCTTGGGTAATTGTCATTCAAGTCTTTTATTGCTACTCTGACTCGGCAGTAGCTGACAATATGTAAAAGCAGAAATTAGTGAAAAAGAAGTCAGCTAGAAAATAAACATCAATGCCGATGCTTTAAATGTAATATTCGTCAGTTTGATTTCGGCAATAAAAGAACGTTAGTTGTGTTCACATGAGAGAATTCATAACGTATTTCACCAAAACAGCTGATAAACAAGGACTGTTCATAATTGGCTGATAAGGTGCCAGGCGCTACCCATCAAAGCATAATCATTCATGTTTTATAAAAATAACCAGACATAAAGCCATGAACTTACAAAGAGTACGTCCATCGAAGAAAAAGACAACTGGTCGATATTACAAACTGAGTTTGATTAGAGAGAGAAACTGACAATTGCAGCACTAGCTTGTCGTCATTTTCATTCAGTATCAAGGAGCTATGGGTTGTATGATTATATATTCAGTGGTAAAGGTATGCATTTGGTTGGAAAATGGCTACTTGTTGAATAGAAATTGTTTATTGTTTGGAATAAAAACGCCGGGTCACCATCCTTGAAAAGTTTGAAATCAAACGGGTTGAGGTCAAAAGGATGGTGAACTTTGTAAACAATCGTATGTTTTTAGATTTTAACGGGTTTTGGCGGTAAAATGACGTCACATGATTGACAGCAAAATTAAAATTTCAACTATTGATGTAAAAAAATAAACGATTTTTAAAGAGCACAACGCGATAAAATCAATTGTAAAAATTGTTGTGACGTCATTTCCCCACCCAAAAACATAAGATTATTTGGCGTGAGATCTTTATAGTGCTTACTTCTTTGCATGTTGCCCATACAAAAAGAAAGGCTTCAGATCAGGAAGTTTGAAATGTTGAGCTACTTAAGTCCGGTGTTTTTGGACCAGCACCTAAAATCCTTGTTTTTGTACCTTAAGATGTCACTTTGTCGTTGGATGTATAAACAGCAAAATAGATTAAAGGCCAGTGTTCGAAACGCTCTACTGACTTTTAAAAATACTTTGGTCACCCAAAATAAGATTATTTATGTAACACCTATGTTGCGTCATCAGTACCTGAGAAGACGCTCAGACGAACTTCTTCCATGGCCACCATCTTCTGCTCTGATGACCACTATGTAGTCTGACTGAAGTTCACGATCAAAGCTCTGCATGCTTTTTATAACACCAGTTGTATTGTCAATTTGAAAGAAGAGGTCACCGTACACGATGCTGTATTCTATTTCGCCGTTTTTACCGCGGTCCTTGTCCGTTGCCAACACCTGAGTCACTACTACCCCGGCCGGAAGGTTCTCAGTCACTGTAACATTGTCACACTTTTCAAACACAGGATGATTGTTGTTCTTATCCCTGATGTAAATGATGACCTTAGTGTCGCTGTAGCTTTTTAGATCGTTTGCTCGAATGGTTAAGGTGTATTCCCACGGTTCGCTTGGAAGTTTCTCTCGCAGAGATATAATACCAGTATTGGAGTCTATCTGGAAAGGTCCTTTTCCGGCGATAACGTTGTAGGTGATGAGTTGATGGTCAAAGTCTTGAGCAACCACTGCTCCCAGTGCTTCACCAACCTTTGCTTCCTCGTCAACAATAAGTCTGTACTCAGCGAATGCAAAATGAGGTCGATTGTCGTTCGTATTCCTTAATGTAACATTAACAAAGGCCACATCAACGTTAGTTTTGTTTTCTAGGGCGTCTGAGACCTCGATTCGAAAGATGTGCTGTTTCTGGCTTTCAAAGTCTAGAGAACGGGCGTTTGATATGACTCCCGTGTCTGGGTCAACTGTAAAGTTATCGTTGTCTATGACCGCAAAATGTAGCTGGCCCGGCGTACAACTGCAGTCTTGGCTACAATCGCAGTCTGTTGCACTCACAGTCAATATTGATGTTCCCAGTGGGACGTCTTCATCAACAATCGCCGAGTAAGATCCTTCTTTGAACACTGGGTAATAATCATTAGCATTTAAAACAGAGATTTTTACGTTGACTGTAGAAGTGAGTCCCGATGGTATCAACTCTACAGCCTCCACTACCATATTATATACCTTGGATTGTGATTCGTAGTCCAAGAGAAAATTTAGTTTTATCTCGCCGTTCTCTGTTACTTTAAATATGTTGTCGGAGTTCCCTTCCACAATTACGTATCCAACTCTGCTACCTGAGGCGCTGACAGCGGTGATCTTACCGACCACTGTTCCACCTTTAGCATCTTCTGGTACATCAAATTTATAGCCATCATCGTCAAAGTCAACAAACCTTGGAGGAAGTTGTCCAACGTCTAACGTTACTTTGATAGGAGAGCTCTGGCGTTGTGGAATACCGTAATCGAAGGGATATAATTCCAAGTCATACTGACTCTTGGCCAGGTCACCGCCAACTTCAATGGTATCATCCAAAGGATTGATGCCAAATGGAGTGTCCTTTGAAATCAACTGATAACCCGCCAGTCCGTTTGGACCAATATCTGCATCAAAAACATTCAGCTGTAAGGCCTTTGCACCCGCTCTCGCGTTGCCATTAATTCGTCCATATTTTGTTCTCATTTCAATTCTGGGATCGTTATCATTCACATCTTCAACAGAAATCTCCAAGTCAACATCGTTAGTAAACGGCCCTGTGACTGTCATTCCTTGCTCTCTAACTGTTAAGACATACTTTGCCTGTGTTTCGAAATCAAGCTCTTTTGCGAGCTTAACTCTTCCATCTTCGTCAACATCAAAAACAGTTTGTTCAGGATATAATATGAACATTATGCCTCCAGGGATGTATCTTGGGACCTCGGCAATTGTTCTTCCAACGCGAGTGTTCTCGAGAACACTCACAGCAAGCGCCGATTGACCTGAATTGTAATTTGCAAACGCTAAACGCACAGGTGTGGTTACAACACCTTTACTATCCGTAGCTTCTACATTGAAGGAAATGGTCGATAGAGGTTCTAAGGCTCTCTTTCCAGGTAGAGTACCATCCATTGCCCTTTTTGCCCTTATGATACCTTGATTATCAATGGAAAAGAATTGCTCTGCCTCCTTAGACAGCCTATATTGCATGGATGACGTACCATCAAGATCGTAAGCTTCTATTTGTGTGACTTCTTCACCCTTTTTTATACCCACTTCTACTTTTCGGTCAACCTTTCCATCAACCGCATCAATAAAAAAAGGAGGGTTATCATTGATGTCTAGAACATTTATAGTTACTTGCAGCTGGGCAGTGCGGCCTTTGATGTCTCGAGCCATGACACACAGCTTGTATTGAGTCGTTTTTTCGTAATCGAGCTCCTGTGCTGTCACCAGATCACCCGAGAACTGGTCAATCTGAATCACCCCATCTTCGTTCCCCGAACATATCTCATAAATAACGTATTCAGTAGTAGCTGCTGCCGCAGAAACAATCTTATTTCCAGCCGCAAGGCCTTCTTTGGTGTTTAAAATTAGCGAAGGAGATGGGTATTGTGGGGGACCATCAGGTGGGAACAAATTAACAAGAACCGTCGCAGTATCTTTCTTACTTTGATCATTTTCATCCAAAGCTTCAACGGTCAAAGAAAAACTCTCTTGGGCAGCGGAAGCGACCTGTGTTTTTCCAAGTGTAATAAGTCCACTGGAACTGTCTATTGTAAATATATCGTTGTCATTGCCTTCGGTGATGTTGTAGTATACTAATCCGTTTATTCCACTGTCCAAGTCCGTTGCCGACAAATGAACTACTCGATCTGCTGATTTGGCATTGGCTGGTATAGAGGCCTGATATGAGGTGGTAGAAAATCGCGGTTTGTTATCGTTGTCGTCCGTGACTCTGATAACCAGCTTTGTAACATCTGAAAAGGAGCATAACATTGATTCAGAAGACTTTTTGCGAAAACTTTTTAGTAGTTTCTAAAGAAGAATGCATGTTTCGTCATCTCTGTTAAGAATTTGAGAGCAAACTGGTTATTCCTATAGGCTTAAGCCACGCCAGTATAACAATAGCCAAAATATGTCTTGCATCATTCTATATTTTTTTTGTTGGCTGCATATCTTTACCATTTCTTCTACTGAAGCATACCACCACTTACCACTTAGGCGCAGTGTAGGATCTCTGTTGCTGTCTTGAGCTTTTATGTAAAGTACGTGTTCGGCAATTTCTTCACGATCTAGTTGTTTCTTAAGTGTGACCATGCCAGAATCGGAATCAACTTCAAAAACATTCTTGCTTTGTTCCAAAACCGTCTGCAGCAAAGAATACTTCACTTGGCCATTTTGGCCATCATCACCGTCCGTAGCGGTCAGCAGCCTCAATTCTGAGTTAACAGCTGTAAAATGAAAAAAACTATTCGATACATGTTTACAATAGTGGGCGTCGCTCGTAATATAGCGGTCACTTTACAACACTGTGGGTAAATCACTATAGAAAGAACCTCCTTGAAGCAGCCAACCATTATTAGCGGGCACTTTCTTTTCCCGAGGGTAGCCTTTTAAGGCCTGTTTCAAACGTCGTGCTACTGCCGTGCTAAGCTGGCTCGACTGTAGCTCGACTGCAGCACGATACTAGCACTACTTGGTTTGAGACTTCGAATTTAATTCGCAATAGAACGACTGTTGCCGAAAACAAAACACAAAAATAAAGAAACTGTTTTGCAAACTTCTAACTATATTCTAATTTATTTATAATTTATGAATTGAGTTCGGCACGGCGATAGCACGACTTGGTTTTAAACGTCGCGCTACTGGCGTGCTAAAGTAGAATATAATTCGATCAATTGAGTTCGGCACGGCAGTAGCACGACCATTGAAACGGGCCACTAAGAGGGTTCAATTAATAAATTAATTAAAATTAAGAAAAACTATGTACAGTATAAGCCAATTGTCAAAGACTATGTTATTGTCATCTTCATCATTTTATGATAAAAATGATCAGTGATACCTTTGGGCCCATATAAACTTTAAAAATGATGAAAAATGATCAGTGAGTATCAAAACTGTAATTGATGAAACCTAATAACATCCTCAAGCTTTAACTAACAAACCTCGATTTTCTGGAACTACGATTGTAAAAAGCGACTTCTCAAAAGTTGGTGCATGATCATTCGAGTCTAACAGCTCAACCTTGACAACAGTGGTGTCATTCCTGTTGTTAAGGGACACCATCACTGTAAGCTCGTACGAAGGCACACTTTCGCGATCCAGGGGTTGCGCCACACTAATAACGCCCAAGTAGTCAATGCAAAACATGTTATCTTGATTCCCTTGAATAAAGAAGTACTTTAACAACGCAGAAGGGTCTCCATAATCCGCTCTGACGTCAATAACTTTGGTACCAACTGGACTGTTTTCTTTGACTGTAGCTTTGTAGTCATCTTGCTTAAACACCGGGGGCTTATTGACATTTATGACATTAATATGAATATTCGTGGCACTTTCTTTTCCGCCACCGTCTGTAGCTTTCACAACCAACATGTAGCTACTCCCGTCAGAAAACCTGAGAAGAGACACTTGCATTATGGGTAAGCCTTAATCGGACTTTTCGATAGAAAGCAAGCACGATAAATTATTGTTGTCGTATAACACAATACATTTATCGGAAAAATTAAAAAACAACAACAACAAAATATATAAGGTCTGTAGCAATTGGACCATGTCTTAATAGGTATACGTATTGTTTTGAATTATTTTATTTTGCTGTGTGAAGAAGAACTTGAAGAGTAATGGATAAGTTTTTTTCAGAATCCGTTAACCCACTGGACACTTTTTTCAGATATCCTCTGTAGGTTTTCAGTATGCTATTCAAGCAAGCCTTTTTATTTGAAAATTGTTTGTAATATTAAAAAGTATATTCTTAAATTACAACCGTGAAGAAAGGGATTGGGACATAAATAATTCATTAGCCTAGACTTATTTGATCTGTCTTTCAAGATCAACTCTTCATCTCTTGTCGATTGGTAACTGTGATCAAGAATCAATTTTTCATCCCATAAACTGCTCATCTTACCTTATTTCTCTGTTAGTTTTTAGATCGCCCGTGTTTCTATTGATGGAAAATGGAATGTTTATGGAAGGGGCACTGGCTGCTTCATAAATTGTGTATAAAATTTCACCAAAATTATTCTCTGTATCTCTATCTATCGCTTTGACCTGCAGAAACAAAAAAAGGTTATGACTATCTACTGATGATGATGATGAAGATAAATTGAAGGCTTACAAATAGATCCCCAGACAGAGTTGTTGTGGGAAAATGCCGCGAATGAATGTATTTATGTAAAATGTTTGAACACAGGAGTCATTTTATAAGTAGGTCGTTGAGTATGATCGTCCGAGTGAACGCAGTCCTGACCGTGTAACTGTCAACAACAACAGTCCTATTCAGGACTGGGTTCACCCGGACGATCATACTCAACCTAATTATGAATGCAGTTATGTCTATTTTCTTCACTGAAATGAAAGTAGTGAAATGCAAGCTCCAGTGGTAACCTCCCTGCGCCTTATATCTCGTATTAAAAACTCTCCCACGCTTTTTTTCAATTTTTGACGAAGACCAGGGAGCCGACGAAAACATCCATCGACACTGCTTGGAAGACCGCCTTAAAATTAGAAAACCTAAAAGCACCCAAAGCGAGCGAAATATTAGGGACCATTTCTCGTTGAAGCTATATCTATCTATTCACTCAACAAATCACTTTTAAACTGACAACTTTACCGATTTTAAGGCTCTCTTTCCATCTGTGTGGACAGATATAACTGGCCCCATTCAAAAATTTAAAAAACCATGGAAGGTTTAGGGTCTATTCAATGAACTTGTGTCTTTTTGATAAATATAATTATCATAGATGTTAAGGCACTACCTTAAATTTGAAACCCTTAATATTTTAACTTGCCAACAGCTTTCTGTACTACTTGGATGTATTTTTTTACCGTGTTTTTGATGATTTAATGGAAGTCTCTAACTTTAATATAAACTCGAATTTCTAACATCATGATAATAACAATAATAATAATAATAATAGTAATAATAATAATTAAAGTCTCAAGCTTCCAGCTTAACATTAAAATTGATGTGTGCTTTATATGCTGCACCAAGTGTTTTAACTTATGATTCTCAGGCAGATGCATTCATGCTATAAAGCCATTGAAATAAATCCCTCTCCTTTCTTTTCTAGCCTTTTTAGTTGGGGCAATAGTGCTGTACGTTTAAACAAAATAAAATGAACTTCACATGCCGCATGTATGTTTGTGGCTGCAGTTCCTATGTTTGCCAGTGGTAAGCTATTCTCTTTCAAACCGTTTCATTAAAAATACGATTTGCTATGACGTTCATTTTCTGCTCAGATTTTGACATATTGTGGCAAAATTTAATAAATATGGCGCTAACAACAACAGCAACATCAACGACGATAATAATAATGATAATAATATGACCGATTATCATATTATATATCAAAGAATAATACTGTGATGATGATGAATATAGTATGGCCGATTGTCATGGAATTGTGTACCTGAAAAACTGTGGTTCCACTGGGCGTGTAGCTGTCAATCGCAATCCGAGTAACGGACTTGTAAAGAAGAAATCTGGGTTTATTATCATTAACATCTGTCACCGTAACCTCGCCTGTCACCTCTGCTGTTACATCCGGGACATTACCAGGGGAAGAAAAGGTTGCCCGTATGATCAACTTGTAGTTCTTTTTTGATTCATAGTCCAGAGCCTTCGCCAGAGTGATATTTCCGCTTTTAGAATCATCAATTTTGAAAGTTTTATGTGGATCTTCACCAACTATGGAATATGTTATACCGCTTTCTGAACCAGAGCGTGACGCTTTCACAATGAAAATTGTGGAACCTTTTGTAGCGTCTTCAGGCAGAGTCTTTGAATAACTTGAGCTTTCAAATTGCACGGGAGAAAATGGGTCACTAAGCACTGATACTTTAACTGAAACCTTGTTCCATTTCTTTTCTGGCCCTGTGTAACCAAGAGACAACATGAGATTTACATTTTACTTTTAATCCAGGGAAGCGAATTGAGAAGTACCGTGTAAGGATCATTGACAACCGAGGTCACTGATCTTCACCTCACAATTATAACTCTGACTTTGTGCATTTTCGTATCCTCCGATAATTCGGGCTAACTTGTAAACTAAGGCTGTATGCCCCTGTCCACTAACAATCTACAAAAAGAAATCGGGATTATATATTTCTTTAAGCTATACGGCCTATGTTTACCAACTTCCGCACCGCTTAAAAGCTTAAAGACAGGTGATTTAACGATGCTGTTATGATCACTAACCTGTTTCTGTTGCCTTGACCTTAAATTCGTAGAACGTATTTTCTGGCAGATTGGATGTCTTAGTAACCAAGTCGCCTTGATTATCTATATGGAACCTAAGGATTAAAAAAGCAGAAATAAGAATCATTGAGAGTATCATATAAGTATCATTATAAATAGAAGTATCATTAAGTATCACTGGGAGTATCATTGAAGACTACCATTGATTTCAAAGGTCGGTAGAGAAAATTAGAAGAGATCTGTGGCTACACATTTATATTTCTAAAAATTTAAGAGTTCCCAAGTTTTATTTAACACCCAAAGGCCAAAACAGTGAAGTGGTTGCATTAAATATCTGTTCCCCATCTGGTTAACAAGTAATGCTTGGAAATTCTTATTATTTCTAGCATATAAAGCAGATTTTCTGGCAGGATTTGAAGACACAGAGGAATTAAGACTGGAAAAGACACCCTGGTGGTATAGAAATTATTGATCTTGGTTAAGTTAAGATATATATTTCAATAGCCGTCTGGGGAATAACGGCAAAAAGTCCGCTGGCAAGGAATATCCCTTCCTAAGAAGCTGGGAGCGACACATTTTTTCAAGATCCTTTCCTAATTGCAGTCGCTCTTGGGAAGCTATTGAAGCTGTATAGAGCGTTTTCACTCACGTGGCCACACTGTAATTTTCAGGGAGTTATAATAACTCCTCTAGTGGGGCTAATTTAACTCCTTACAGTGGAGTTATTTTTCGTGGAGTTATTTTAACTCAAAGTGGCCAGCATCTTATCCTGCTAATTTTTATTGGAACAAAAGAAAAAACATTTACATGAGAAAAGAGTTCAACTCCCAAAGGATTTTCTTGGTACACCAACATAGCTGCCGTTTCATTGTTTTGGAACACCAGTATGGCCGCCGTGACGTCATGTGAAAACGCTCTATTGTTTCATGGATAGGGTAAAAAATGGTATAATTGCCCATTTTTAATTTCATCCGATTACCCTTTTTTCTGCCTGAGTCGTTATTACCCTATAATCCCTCAGTAACGAACTGAATCGACCGGATAAAAATATGCCGTTAAAATGCCGTCCTATGTTTAAGGGACGTCACTACTCCTTGACCTTTGCTTTAATTCATACAAAAAGTAAAACACGATTTTCAAGTGGCAAACCGAGAAATATCGTTTGGAAATGTCTGCATTATACAGAATTGCTTTATTTTTTTTTCATCTTCAACGTTCAAACTCGTACAACTCCCCGTTCATGAATTCAACGTTCAAAATCACGCAATAAATAAACACACAACTGCATGCAGTTTCAACTCCGACAGAGGTTCATATTTTGTGTCTACCCAAAAAAAATCCCTCAGTGTTTTTGCATCAGCAAATTTTATTATTTATCTTCTGGAATAATCAAACTCGGTCGCAATCACGGAATGAAAAAAATCCCGGCGTCTTTCAACCCAAAAAAAATCAGACGGAAAACTTACCCGCCCGTCAAAAATACAATGATTTGCTTTTTAGACGTGATTGAAAAGAAGCTATTTGGTCCTTAACGAAGGAAAAAAACAAGGAAACAAGAAAGAAAAGCTAACAGAATCATTACACTTGACGGTGAAAATAGCAAGAAGGTCGAATTATAACATTGATCTCAGAAAACTTCGCGTAAACAAAATCACCGGCCGCCGAAACCACAAAGCGGCTCTAAATGAAAAACCTACCGACTCTCCGCAATGATTCTTCATTCGCAGTTCAATTTAGCATTTCAGTTTCGAAGACAAGGGCAATTTTGCTATTTAAGATAAAGATTAAGCTTATCGAAATGTTTGAACTACACGAAAGAATGCCAGGGAAGCGATCCGTTGAATATCAAGCGACAATCCGGCTAAAATTTTCATAATTATACATAATTATGCGAATGTTTAGACAATCAACCAATGAAAATCACTACCCGGTTTTCGGGTAGGGAGTGACGTCACTGGACGACATTAACGGCCGGTCGATTCAGACGTTACTGAGAGGGTAATAATGACTCGAAGTAATCGGATGAAATTCAGGCTAGTGCTAGGGTCCATTGTTTCTTTTGTTTGATCTTTTTACCTTTGTTCCGAGAGCTACCAGACCGCCCAAGTACGGAACATTGTAAAAACCCGAAAATGTTATGGAAACCTTTTCATAAAATGTTTTCGTTTAGTATTTAGAATGTTGCCAAAAATTGTAGTTGGATGGCCCTGTTTAACAGTTAGAAATCAAATGACTTTTCAAATTAGCAAATCAAATCTACCTTGCTTGAAATTAGTGGATTAAATTTCAAAAGCGATCTTTCAAACAAAACACAATTAGCTATACTGTTATTATCGACTAAAAAAAGTAAAATCTTTAAACGCAGTAAAAGAGAAAGGATGACGAAACAAAAACAAACCTGCTGTTATCGTCTTCGAGTTCCAACACAATTCCTTCGCTCCCCTGGGTGTCCCTGTCAGTAGCAACAATTCGTAACAAACTTGTTCCCTTGGGGGTACTGCTCGGTACAGACACCCAGTAATCAGATTGTTCAAACTCAGGAGGGTAGTCATTAGTGTCTGTTATTTTTACCGTCACAGATGCAGAACCAAAAAAGTTTCGTTGTTTGACGTTTGTTACACGGACTTTAAATCTGAATTCTCGGTCAGGGACCTGTGTGAAGTTCTTGATGGCTATTAGCTGGCATTCTGAGTTCATGCGTTCAACTTGGAAATGATCAAGAATTTGTACAGCAGTAATATCCTCTAGTGTGCAGTCAAAATCAGCCAGGGACTTATCATCCGTCGAGAAACGAAACCCTTCAGTGTTCTTAACGAGGATTTTGGTTCCCTTGGCTACATTTTCTGGAGTTGTAACTTCATAACTGTCCTTCTGAAAAATCGGCGGTTCATCTTCGTTTTCGATCTTCACGGTTACTGGTACGTAGTCAATTTGAGAAGAACCTTCACTCTGTGCTCCTACTTCAACAACATAACCACCTTGATCAAACTTGTAATAGAAAGTGTCTTTCACTGACAACGAACCTGTTGGAAGTTAGCGAAATAATTATGATCATCCAGGTGGCTGTAGTCCTGAATAGGACTGTTGTCAGTAAGAGTGACTAAAGCTTCGACAACCTGTGCGTGTTCATTTTCAGGCTCAAGGTGAATTGTGTCTTCAGTCGATGGTAATAAACTGCATGGATAGATAGAATTTTGATCCGATTGACTATTATTAGGTCCACAATCATAGTTTAATACTAAGGACAATAGCAAAGGGTAAAGTAATGCCAAAAAAAAGTATAGTAATAATTTGTGGAAGAAATTAAGAGGAGCAATTAAAACAGTAGAATAGCGTAATTTCATGAGCAAATTGTCTTTCACTTAGAAGTGAAAATTAAAATTCATGTCGGATGCATGGAGTTTTGTTCAAAATTACCGCAATGGCATATTGTGTCTTAAACTTACCAGTAACAGGATCGATTTGAAATCTGCTGTCTCCTCCAGATTTCATTGAATACTTAACATTCCCTTGACTTCCGGAGGCCGCGATACACAACAAGTTCGGTACCAGGCCCTGTCCTTCTCTCAATGACACTTCATAAGACTGCTTCCAAAACTTGGCAATTGAGTCAGGGGAACTGATAACTTGGATTTTCACAATCGCGTCAGATGTTTTTCCATCTTCATCATGGGCAGTAACATAAAGAAGAAATTCTATGTCACCCGTTGCTCGTTCAAGAACTCGCTTAGTTCTTATCACACCAGTGTTAGATTCAATTTCAAACTCTGACCGGTAATTTAATGTTTCATATACAACCACCTGGTTATCTTTGTCTATTGCATGTATTACAGTGACAAACGTCCCTTTAGGACTCCCCTCGGGAACCCCTGCGTTATAAGCTGATTTGCTAAAGTCCGGGTAAGCATCGTCTACATCCGTGATATCAATTGTGACGTAAAGATAGGAATGACGTGGTAGTTTCTCCTTGTTTCTTGCCTCTATCATCATATCATAAGTTGCTTGTGTTTCTCTGTCCAGATGGGCAGCAGTTCTCATCACTCCATTAACCTCGTCAACTTCGAAGTATGGCAGTGCCGAACCGGAGATTGCCGAGTACACGACACCTTTACTAGAACTGGAGTCGAAGATTACCGAAGCTTGAAATACTGACCTACCGACTTCTACATTTTCAGCTACCCTAAGAACTTGTATAGGATCACTGAACACAGGGTAGTCCTGGGAATTACCTGAGTCCTTGACTACAATCTTTACCTGGGCTTCCGCTTCTTTTGAAGGGCTTCCCTGGTCCTTAGCTTTCACTGTTAATGTATATGTCTGCACATTAAGACCCCCGCTCACTGTTAAAACACCACTAAATGAATCGATGGCAAACACACTAGAGGTGCTGACTAGTGAGTATCGCAGGTCACTGTTTGAGCCCGGTGGATCCTCGTCTACCGCAAAGATGGCGCCAAGACTTCCTTTTACCGGAAATGATGCATGGACTGTAAAATGATATGGAGCATAGAGAAAGAATGGTACTGTGTTTTCTTGATCGGAGCTCGAAGAGCCAGAAAATGGAAAGTTAGGAATATCTAGAGGTACAGTGATGATAACAGAAGCTATGGTCTCTTTGCTGGGATTTCCTGCATCACGCGCAACGACTGTCAACTGCTGTAAGCGCTGATTGCTTTGAGAATAGTCCAATTCGCGTACGAGCATTACAACACCCGTGAAGACATTAATAGTGAAAAAGCTGGACAGAGTTTGAAAGAAATAATAAATTTCTCCATCCACTCCTCCATCTTGGTCTGTTGCTTGCACTTTAAGTATCGGCGTCATTGTTGGCGTATCTTCGCTTATAGCGCGCTCGTAGCTGTTTTTGTTGAAAACCGGTGCATGGTCGTTCATCTCTTCAATCAGAATTCTAATCGTCGTGCGAGCGGTTAATGGCGGGTTTCCCATGTCTGCAGCTTCTACTGTCAAGGTCATAAAAGGCGTGGTTTTACCTCGTTTGATTGGCTTGCTTGTTGCTTTCAACTGCAAGAAACTTTTCTCCCCCACATCACGCTTTTCTGCCTTAAAATACCCCTTCTCATTCCCTCTGATGATTTTATAAACTCTTACTCCAGAAGAATCACGATCCTCAGCGTAGCAATTCTCCAAACCCATAACAGTCGTATCTGCAGGTGAATTTTCTTTAATGGTTCCGTTGTATAATTGAAAAGCGAACAATGGTGTAAAGTTATTTATATCCTGTACTGTTACCCGTACTGTCGTGGCAAGTCCACCATCTGTCTCTTTGCTTGGTCTTTTCACGATTGTTAAGTCATACTTATTCGGTTTTCCTTTCTCGTAAATGAGCGGTTGAACGGTTGTTATGACACCGGAAGGTGAGACCTTGAACAGACCAACTTTGTCGAGCGAATCGCCTTTTTGAGCGTACAGTAGTGAATATCTGTCTCTACCAGTAGGCAGTGGAAGCGCGTCATAAACTGTGTATGGTGCGGGCTTCCCTTCAGGAACGTTGATTTCGATAAAATTCTTCCACTGTGCACTTGCGTAAAATATGAGATGTATAAACAAATGAAGTACAATTTCCCAAAACGTACAACGCATTTTCTGTCTGATTTGGCTGTTTGATCTGGTTAGGCAATTGAAGTGTTGTATGAAAATTTTGATTAATTATCTTCCTCTATAGAAGTTTCATCTTCTCTTCCTTAAGGTGCCATCAAATCAAAAAAGTTACTTGGAATTGAGTCTTCTTAATTATGCCACGCAGGTGATGAACTATGTAATTATTGGATACCGCTGTGTTACAAGTTCAGCCCACGTTTTGAGGCTTGGAAGCAGTCAAATCTTTTCTTCTTAAAAGGGCTCTTCCTTATTCGGACGTACATAATTTGCCATTGACCGCTTTTTTTTTCACAAAAACTTCGTTTGGCCAACAAGCGAGATACTGCTAAGCCTTGTTTTTTTGCCACAAATATACAGTCAGTTTTGTTTGGTTTAGCTCAAATGCCCTATGACAGCTTGGAAGAGTTGCTTGCCGGTCGTCGCGCCCAAATTACAGTGTATTTGATATCCAAGTATGATTGGTTTGTTCCTCATTTTGTAAAGTATTTGTGGTTCCACCCTGCTTAGACAACGCTGGTAAACAATGCAGGTGGCTGAATTTCCAGACACAAATAATCATGAGTCATTTCCACGCTGTTTAAATCGAATACACTAAAATATGCTAGGTTTTCACGCTTTTTATTATAAAAAAGCGTCTGAACAAAACATATAAGATAAAATCTTGAATTTAAATATGCCTTCATTAATCCTTCACAGTACTTGTAATATTCTTCCAGAAGAGATGTCTTCAGCGTTTTCCATGTTTTTTCTAACGTGTGCTCGATCAGTTTTGAACTATTTTTTGGACTAAAAAATATACGATTGGCGCGGTTTCAATTTTAGGTGTAATTACGCTTGACACAGATTTTCTCTTCAAACTAGAAATCAGAGTTTGTGTTTGAAGTCTACTATGTTTTATTAATGTAATTGCTTTTTTGTAATGGATAGACCAAACTACTTTTAAAATTGTTACTTGTAAAATTCTTTTTCATGTACGAGAGATTTCAAACAAAAGTGATTGGACTTTATGCCTTTCATTAAAGACGAGACGTATTATCCAACTTACAAGTGGAATAACTAAGGGCAGACTATAAAAAAAAAAATAGAATGTCGGTGAATTAGGTAAATTGTCCCTGCTGACACTCATTTTTTATGGAGACAGTATCACACTAATGACGACCCTTCGGATGAAAAGTAGCCCATTTATACAGAAAAAAATGAATGTCTAGTTCGGAGTAATCTTCAGCTGAAGTAATATGAAAACAAGAAGCTGATCATTATAACTGCAGTTTTTTTTTAGCAATCAGACATATTAATGGATCTTGTAGGAATATTTATATAATGAACAGGTACCAGCAGCAACTGTTTGAAAATTAAATTAAGTGTTTTGATAAGTCGTTACCGCTCTTTTTTTTTATTATCGATGTGTGAAACTTTATAATTTTAAGTGACAGTGACTGAATTACTAGTGAATTTCATACGTTTTTTTGTATATTTATTATCGTTTTGACCAACTGAGGCTTCTTGAACCTTGTAGCGCCCGTAGTGCTGCGTCAGAAAGGGCTTTATTAATTACGACAGTCGATGAAGGTGAACAACAGACTTTGTGGGAGGTAATGGGACCATTGCTTCCCATGCAAGTGTGATTTAGACTTCCGTGCTGGGCCAAAAATCACCAGCCATTCTGATACACATAGTTATTTTCATACCCTGCTGATGTTCGGTTACTCTCTTTGTTCCTTTGTTATGACAGATTTTCAAATAGACAAAGCAGGTGAAAATCATGTTCATCGTTATCGTTAGTAAGGTGGTTGGCCACCGTGAGGAGATTATACAAAACGAGAGCTAACATTTGCCAGCGATAGATGGTCAGTGACTGGCATCTAGGCCTTATACCCTTTCCTTCCTGCTAAAAGTGGCTAGAATTTAATCGGATTAATAGAAGGGAGAAGGGAGACGTCAAGTTACCGTGGTAGCCAAATTTCTGGATGACAACGATAGGGCCGAGATTAAGCAACGACTACGGCGACAGTAACGAGAAAGACAAAAAAAACCCCGATACGTTTAGTTAACAAAACAGCAACTTTGCACGATAGCCGTCGTTGCACAACTGCAACATGAAACTTCCTAATTTCACGCGCCCGCTTTAAGGAGTACTTGAACACAAGACAAAAAGTTTCTTTTTCTTTTTCTAAACTTAGATACGGTCCTTTCGAATTAAAACCAGTATAATTTCGCCGACATTTGAAAAATTAAATGAAATTGAATAAGATCGATTAAGTTTGAAACAGTGCGAATTTACTTTTTAAGTGAATTTTCGGTTTGTTGTCATCCAAAAATTTCGCTACCATGGCAACGTGACGTAACGACTTCTCCTCTCTATTGCGATATATCAAAATTCACACTTGGCTGCGATGCTTGAGGAAATTACAAATGAATTATTCATTGCTCAGCCTCCTCAAGATGATTACGTTTTATTCCCCTAAGCCTCGGATTCAATTGAGAATTTTATTATATTGAAATTGATCTATTCTATTTTCTACTAGGGTATCTAAAAGATAGTAATGCTGCGGCACATTCTGTTGATACTGGCATTAGTTAGGCAGTGAGACTTAAAAGAATCAAAAATGACATTGAATGTCCTATTTACATGTTGGAAAGTACTAGAATAATTACTATCAGTCTATAGAAAGAACTTGTGGGAACGTTGTTTAGAAAATGATCAAGTGGTTATCAACTCTGGTTTTCCCACAGTAAATTTTAGGAAATAATAGAAATTGAGATTGATTATCCAGATATTTAATATACAGTGCACGATATTTTCTCTGGAAACGCAATAATTTTCTTGCTGTTTGTTGCACTTTATTAAGTAACAGTTATTTAGCTATATATTTATAGAAAACAACAACACAAAAAAAGGAAAAAAAAAAAAAAGGAAAGTAGGATATTTCGGCAGGACTCGAACCCGGCACCTTCGACTCGACGCGACTACACCTAATGAACCACTACACCACAGAGGCTGATTACGTAATTTCTGGGAGAAGTGTGTCACTTTATTCCTTTTCTATGAAACTTCCGCCGGCAAGATGATCGCCAGCCCCGTTAACCGAGCTATTAACGGTGAAAAAACAATGCAAACGCATATTCCATGGCAATGAATGAATGAAAGAACATAATTATGCTTTTCAAAACGCCGATACACGTCCTGGTCTGCAAAGTAGGACACAAAACATGTGTTTTGTTATCTCTATTTCCGCTGTTATTTTGAAGCTAATGGTCAAAATCACATCCATTTTCGGCTCATACAGTTTCTTAAGAATAGCATTATATGACATTTTCTCACTTTCACATCACCTTCTAGCAAGCTGGAATTTGTATATCCCCCGTGTTGCGGAGTCGAAGAGCAAATGCTCATCTTCTCGTCAGGTTTAACACCTGGACGAGTCAAAGGCTCTTGAATTGAAATCCACTCCCCAAGTTAACCATCGTACTCATCTGAAAGACTCCTGCGTGTCTTAAAATTTGGTAAGACCTCTAACCGTGCTGTAGAACTGAGCAGCGAACGATGCACTACTTCCCCGTGTTTTTATTTGAGTTGTTCGTGGCTCAATGCACTCTGGTTAAATGCAATGCATTGTGGTAAAAAGTGTGGTTAAATGCAATGCATTGTGGTAAAAAGTGATGAATTCGAGAATTCGTCGCCCCTTTATATATTTCCTTTAAATCCTGATTATGTTGCTGCTCGCTCCCTTCGGTCGCTCCGCAGCAAAAATGTTAAAAGAAAAGATGACAATGTACGAACTGGCAGTCACTAAGAAGTTCCATTTGCGGAATGGTTACAAGGATAGAACCTCTGGCTAACTCTTCATGTTCAAAATCCAGGACTAAACTGATATCGGACTAAGTTGATGCAAACAGAAATATTTGTCTCCTTGGGAATAGCTTACCCGCTGTGTAGCGAAGGGAACATTGAAAATATGTGTTATCACACACGGGTGTGTGTTCCAGGGCATACTAGCTACTTCCAAGACCAAAAGGGCACTAGTCATCTGGGCCAGAAGCATTAATCCTTTTGACATGTGACCATGCCTTAAAGACGAATATTTCATAAATTTCATAAATCACTGGAACTTTATGAAGTTTGATAATTTCCAGCCGGACAGGCTCGACATAATGTAGGTCAGTGTAAAGGCGAGTGTTCATATCATTCACATTGTTATGAATAAGTTGACAGATTCATCTTTGATTCAACAGGTTCAGTTCAATTTATTTTTCTTTTACATAGTAGCTCTCACCCAGATTTGCTCCCCTTTAACTGTTTTTTGTTTTTTGTTTTTGTTCTCAGACTGCCTAATTATGACCATCCATTGCCACAATTAGTCTGTGCTAGTGCTTATTAACCGATGAAAGATAAAGATTAAGGATCAGGCTCAACTGATTCTCTTTAATGAGCTGGTTTATTCTCGGCGGTCAGGAACCAGCCTCATCAAGATCCCTTCCCTAAGTAGCAAATTCTTTTAATCAAAAGATCTTTCAGCAGAGGCGGCATAAAAGAAAGGACGTCTGATGTGTTTTTAAGATCTAAACTGCTACAGTCTCAGCAATCGTTTTTACTGTATTTCAGACTGTTTTTTACGGTGTTTTGGTGTGGCGTTCCACCCTTTGGCTCCAACATTGGTCAAGGAAAACTTTTTCAAGCTAACCGACTACTTATTTTGTTTTAGAGATATCGTAAATTATATATATATATATATATATATATATATATATATATATATATAAACATTATGATTTTATTTACTTCTTCAAAGGAGTTTCAGGACGTTCGCGCATACAAAATGATTCTTTCCCAGAAGACTTTTGTTAGTGTTTCCCAGACTCCCTTCGCCATATCGACTTCCGTCTTTCGCGGAAGTGAGAGCAGTATTATATTATCCCGGATTTAAAAATATAAATACAACTGATTATTTCCCTTCTGATGATCCTTTCTTCCTATTATTACT